TGTCCTTCGCCTTGCATTACACCTTGGGTTAACGCGAGAGAGAGATGCGTTGCCGCTTCCCGTTACTATGATAATTACCTGCACTGGCACGTGAGATCGTGTCTTAATTGGCCACGCGTGAGATGCTATTGTTCACCACCGCTTCTGTGTTATGTGCTCTATGTTACTTTGCTTCTTTCTTTTTCTTTCTCTCTTTGTGTACACGATTCAACGCAAAACTGATTTTTCTTATCTTCTTACCAAAGTTCGGATTCGAGATCGAAGCCAAAATAGCCAAGAAAAAAGTCCAAATTGTCTGATAGTATCCATTGCTGAAAGAAACGCGTACAATGCATCGATCATATCTTAGAGAATGAAATTACGTTTTTAGTTCATTTCAATTGGATCGGTCATTGAATTAGTATCTACGCAGCTAGATTTACGAGTTCCATAAATTACCATAGATGAAAAACATGTCAGTCATGCAAATATTTAGAATGATCTTTTACTCGCAAGACAAATCCTCGTTTCGATATCTTCATTGGTATGCCGGGAGCGTGCGCATTTCTGCTTGGAATCGACATCGAGTCGTATCGATAGATCCTTAAGTTGACATAAAATTGCCCGTGCGATGTGCGTTGGCCGAATCGGATAAACGTCAGGACTAAACGCTAGATGTTGAAATAGCGACAACGACTTATCGCCACTTATTTCATATTTTTGTTGATTCGTTCGCAAAATAAACACGATAACAGAGAGAGAGAAAGAGGGAAAAATTTTCGCACTATTTACTTTTAAAATTGTTGATTAATTGATCAAGCTTTTGATTCAATAAAATCATTCGCAAGCTCCTTTTGACGAGGCACGTGCTCAGCGAGCACACAAGGGGGCATTCAATTATTTTTTTCCGCAATCACCTGTGCTTTAATGCGCCGATTGTTTACGGCTCGATTGTACTTTGAGGTATGATTATACGGCGTCAGAGCACAAATGCACAGCTCGTACAATAAAATATCAATCACAAGATGTTTATTTGCGGTAGCGTCGAGCTCTGCAATTGCTATTGAATTTATTATTCATCGAGTGTATTAAAGCGTATATAGAGTCGGTCAGGTAGTGCACACACTATACTAATAACTAAAGTACATATAACTAGCCACCCACGCGAGAGACAGAGAGAGAGAGAGAGAGAGAGAGAGAGAGCAAGTGGCGAACGCGGACGGTAAAGGTTAACATGCTACACCAGCAGCAGCAGCAGCGGTAGAGGCAGCGGTGACGGTGGCAGCGGCGACGGGCGGCAGCGTCGGCGGCAGCGCAACTCGTTGCAAGAAGAGAGATAGTTGCTACACACAGCACCGTCGTACACTAAATCATTCGCGTCGCGCGACTCATTTGTAAGACTAACTTTGCCTCCATATAATACTACTATACACATATAAACGCACTCGACTCCGTATACACGTGTGCGAGACTGTACCTTTATACCGTTGGGCATCTCTCTCCCTCGCTTTCTTCCTCATTGTACGTCGTATTATATACACACACTCTGTCCTTTCTTGTGTTCTCGCTTGTGTTCTACCCGTTGTTACTGCGTGCGTTTATTTTTTTTTTCTTTTACCTTTTACCTTTTGCGCCGAGAGAGCAGCTCGTCCTTGTGGAAAATTTTGATTTATTTTCAATTGTTGCATTCGCTGTCCGTTCGGCCTACGTCAGAAAATTTAATAATTGCGCGTAATAATTTACTCGAGCGTCACACATTGTATTTTTATGCCTCGACACAGTGCTGCTCTTTAGCTATCATCGAAAAATCAACATTTTTGCTTTCTCCCGAAGCTCTTTGAAAAAATCTTGGCTACGATGCCAGAGAGCTTTTACATCGCGCGCACGCAAGTACTCGATTCCGTGCTCGCGCGTTGATAATGCTTTTTCCATCATCTTTAGCCCGAGAGCCGTATAATTTCCGTGCCATTATGTACCATAACTTTAGCTCGGCGCGCGAGCGCTCGTGCACATGGAAAATCTAATCCTCCGACATGGCAAATATTTTCTCTCTTCGGGTGTATACTTCACAAATATTGAACGAAGCGCTGTGCGCGTGATTTTGCATGGATCGTGGATAAAATCAGCTTGTTTTAATACGGTTCAATGGCCTTCTCTCTTTCTCTCTCTCTCTCTCTTTCTCTTGCTCGAGCCGTCTCTCTCGATTTAGAGTAACTGTGTATGAGTGCGTGTGCATGTGCTTTGCGGGCTTGTACGCGAAAACATTAGCGTTCGCTGTCTACTATAACTAAGTAACTATCTTTCTCGCTCTTCAGCTACGCTGCAGCGCAGCAGCATCAGCACTTTAAGTGCCACTCGCACTTAATTCCAAACTATGTATGTACGCGCGTATGTGTATACTGTAGACGATGCGCATGCATGCATGCATGCACATCGTCTCTACTGTTGCCGCGCCGCCACCGCCACTGCTGCTGCTGCTGCTGCTGCTGCTGCTGCTGCTGCTTCTCTTGCCTGCTGCTCTTGGGTTGCGATGCCTATACGCGCGGCAATGGGAACGAGAGGCACAGCTTTTATAGGCACTGTGACTTTTCTTCCGGGGGACTGGCTTTTCTCGTTCCCTACCTCTAATATTCAACTACATACCTCTTGCAACTCTTATATTTTTGTTTACTCTTTTGATAGCGTACTATTATATCATAAAGTAAGATTTACTCATGCTTCGATAAACGAGTTATTTAATTCACCAACTTGATGTTTAATTTTGAAATAAATTATAAAACAATACTACTTTACTTGATTTTTGTTATAACTACGTGATCGAGCTTGTTTCATCGGAAAATGTTAGTAAATTGCCCTGGCTTTTTTCGGGTTCGATCAAATGATTTTCGATTTAAATTTACGAAGCCTCATCATATTGAAATAATATTGCGCCAATCTAGATTCATTAACAACTGTTTCCATCGAGGCGAATATAATAAAAACCCGATCGAAGCAAACACGTCGAAATCGCATCAAGTTTGATGGCTTATATACTTACGTACACTCGTACCTTTTCTTCACCTGGTCTCATAACGCGATGCATTTCATCGTTTCATTGTGGCCTGCGCTGGATTTATTCAAGCTCTGCATCTCCGGTATATATAAAGTTCGTATCGATAAATTGCTCTCTTGAGTCCGGCGATGATTTTTTAACTGCAGGAATAAATTTTGCTCTCTTGGTTCTCTCACCGCAGGGCAAACAGAGAGCGAGCGAACGAGAGGGAGAGAACGAGAGAGACGGAATGCTCGAGCAATCGGTGAAGCCGCATCACGAGCGATTTTTTAAACCGACGATTCGTCAAATTTTGTATATAAATCTTGTCTGGCTGTAATTTTATTTCATTCTACTACTGCTATAGGAAGAAAAATTTCTTTCGACGAAAAAAATAAAGCTTAAGCTCGCATAGCACACGCGCGCAAGGGTTGATTACCAGCACGTGTATACATGTATAGAGAAGAGGTAAAACGTGCTTAACTTCCATTGCGCTAAAATAAGTAAACTTGCGTTCAAGCGAGGCAAGATGGAAGAGGGAAGGAGCGCGCGGAGGGGGTGGGGAGAGAACAAAATGAGAGAAGACAGAAAGAAAAGAATGCGACGTTAAAGGGAGAGAAAAATGCTGGAGTAGCGAGCGAGAAATACTCGAGCGAGCGCTCGCAGCTCATGAAGGGACGCGCGTAAACGTGTAATTGGTCGCACTTAAATCGCTATAACGTAGCAGTAAAAATGCACCCGGACTGCTGCGTAAATCAACACGAGGGCGATATGACGCTTGGCCATTCTTGCGCGGCTCGAGCCTTAGCGTAATTTTGTTGTTTTTTTTTCGCCCGTTTTACTTTTTCGTCTACTGAAGCGCTTCGCATTTGGTATTTTTAATTTAATTTTAAAACCTGACGTGCGAAAGACAATGATTTCATTGAAATGTTTGCAGCGTCTATGCTTTTGCAAAAATAATACGTGCTTCGCGGCTGCCTTTTGTTTTGCCTTGAAAGTGAAAAAGGAAGAGAGAAGAAACCTGTTCAAGGACGGCAAGCGCAGCAAGATAGTGGAGCTTCGATATTTTCGAAGCGAGTCTCATTTGATAGTTTGCCTCAGAGAAAGAGAGAGAATAGTGTCATTATAAATGACCGAATCTTATCGTATACGCTTCGTTTCCCAAGCTTCTATCGCACTGGAGAAATCACAGAGATGCTTAGGGTGAACCTCTACCCCATGCGTGTATTTTTCGCTGTTGTACTGCGCAAACCGGCTGCTGTTGCTTGTATAGACTTGAAAAAGCAAACAATCTCTAGTATATATTTTTCTCAGTGTCTTCGAAATTTCAATTCAAACTTATCAAATTTTATGTTTCGGCTCCAGTTTAGTATATGACCTTATCCAGCTTTCATCGTGATTCTTACGTTTTTGTCCTCAAGATATTCATGCTCTTGGGCACATGAATCTTTCGAAGATGTTTGGCTCACTGCATAGTCCATAATATAATAATGAACGAAAAACGAATGGGTGAAGCAGTCAAGCCACGTACTATAACAGTAATATAGAAGCTCGAAATGGCCAAGTCGAAATTCGTGATTGCTGGTAATTTTCTTTTAGACGAATCGGGTTAATGTAGCAACGCAAGACTCGACGTTTTATTACACATGGATTTCCTTGAAAATGACCCTCGACGTCTAATTTAGATTCCTCTTACTTAATGTCATTAATATGTCAATTCCTGCTGTCATGATGATCTCGGTTTAATATGTATAGCCGAGTGCAAAAAATACACATTCAGCGAGATGCTATCTGATTAAATCTACTACTCGTATTTATATATCGATCCAATTAAGACAATAAAATAATTGACTTGTCATTTTAACTGACTCATAATTGTTCACTCTTCGTATGAAACAGTTTCAATGAATCTGCCATTAAATCATAATTCATAATAGTTAGGTAATATACGATACAATGACATCAACTAATTGTTGGATATGTATTTCAGGTGACGCGAGTAACGCAAGTATCGGTAGTGGTGAAGGCACGGGGGAGGAGGACGACGACTCGTCGGGTAAGAAGAACCAAAAGAAGAGAGGCATTTTTCCAAAAATCGCGACCAACATCCTCAGGGCGTGGCTGTTTCAACACCTGACGGTAAGTTATGCTCCTATTCTCACTAAACGCAAGTGTAAATAAATGTATTCCAGTCCTTGCCGGGGTCTATGCGCGTACGCGGACTTTTTTCGCGCTTCCCTCGACGCACGTGGATATGCGCACTCATCACGGTGGGTGATGATTTTTGTGTCTCTCAGACACGCACGGAACGTGCGACGCGCGCGCGCACACGAACGCACGCACACTTGTATGTACATGGGACTCGTTTCTGCGACGACGCTTCGTAGAACTTGGCTTTTTGCTCTATAAACACTTCGAACGGAATAAAAGGAAGAAAACGCGCATCGTCTGTACGGCTATACGACGCAGATAAGAGCGAAATGATGTAGGGAAAAAAAAGGCGAAAAAACAAAAAAGAAACAAGGTGTCGAGAGAGGAGTTCGAAATCGGGCCTTCTGCGAAGTGACTCCGGACACACGGAGCGATGAAAGCTGTACTACTGCTGCAGCCAACAACTGTTAGCTCGTGTGAAATTCCAATTCTGCAAAAAAGTGCCGAGACGCAGCGTGAAATTGTTGTTATTGCTTCTTATTCGGAAATTGCACGCACGCGCGCTGCGAGCAGTGCATTCGCGTACCGACGCCGACTCTCTTTCTGTTTCCAATTAAACGGCCAACTTTACGAGAAACCTTCGTACACTGACAGAAATTTCTTTTGATTTTGTCACTCATTTACTAATGCGGAAAAGAGAAACTAATAATTTTAATAGCACTGGAATTTGCAATTTTTAAAATTTAAATGCATCCTAGTGAAAAATTAAATATTGAAAAGTGCTTATAATTTAAAGTTTCTCTGACAAAAAACTAATAAGTCTTAAAAATAAGGAAAGCTAGAACGCGTCATGCAATATTCGATGTCGCCATATAGGGCATAATCTTCTAATCTGCTAATACCGAAATAAGGGGCAACTCCCTTGGTATATATTGTGTACGTACACAGTCGGGTGGCCAAGCAAGCAATAGTAAGCAAACCCCCTGCAGCGATTCGGTTGTAATACGAGCGGCAAAAAGCACAACGCGATTTACCTTCTATACTTAATACGCGGCGTTTGGCTCGATAATATGCATCGTATGGCTTTCACGAGCGGCTTGACACTGTAAACTAACCAACGACCGAGAGTACACCACATGTCGCGACACTTGCTTAAAAATAATAATTTTCGAGTTATTTCCCGCGGACTTGTTGACTTTATTAAGAGATCTCGAAGTATATTTCAATTTCGTTTTTGCTAGGTTTAACTGGTCGAATTTGTAGTAAGATAGTCGTACATCGTAATGCACACGCAATTTAGCAGAATCGAAGCAGCCGCAAACTCTGAGAAAGTGACCAATGGCACGGCTGGACGTTGTTTATGCGACTGAGTGCGAGAGAGACGAGATGGTATATGCGTGTACGTGCAGAAAGGGAGAGGAACCGATACATAATCATATTGCAGCGTGCCGTGTTCGCGCTTGACGCTTAATGTCATTACTGCCCAATCGTTGGCAGTAGAGGGTGGGATAGGATAGGATGGGATGTATTCATATATACATATAGATGCGACGACGGGCAACTTCCACCCCTGTTACTGCGTCGCTCACACCACTCTACGCAGCAGTGCAGTGACGCTGTAGCAGCGCAGGAGCGTCGGTGGCATTAGACTATATTATATGGATTGGATATGACGTCGTCAGGGTCCTTGCCAGGGATTCTGCTGCTTCTACCACTCCTACTGCTGCCACTACTACCAGCACTAGCGGCACTATTGCTACTAATGCACGAGCGCTGGTTAACTTTAAACTAGAATAGAGCGCAGCCGAGCGATCGATATATGGACTGACTCGTGCTAATCGAATCTGGCTTAACACGGCCCATCGCCGGGCCAAGAGGGATGCACCGTGCGGGCGTCTACGTATTACACGAACGCTCGCAGACTCTATATTCGCCCGGCGATAGCTATATGCGGCGTTGTAACGTAGCTGCCACCGTCGCTATCCATGATTACTTGACGAAATTTGAGATTACGCGAGGATATTTTCTTCCTCGCTGGATAAATATTGGCAATTTAATGTTGTAGCTCGATAATGTGTGTTCGGAAATTCGAAGCTTGAATTGAGACGTCGAATTATCGTATTCTAGCGATCTTGCAAGTTCGGTTCATCAAGCCAAAAGTCATTTTTAATGCAAACAACGCTACCTTTCAAATACAGAGTACAAGAAGAAGCACTTGATCGACTAGTGCGAGCGAATAAGTGTCGTTAAAAGTTCGTTACTTGAAGCAGCAAGCGGAATTTTATCAAGCATTTCATTTATTGCACGAATGACTTTAGTCCATTGCTGGAGAAACACGCGGCGCGTCAGACTAGAGTTTAATTAGACGGAAGAGCGGTATATATCACGATCTCTTGCTAGTAAGCTTCCTTCTCCACCCGGCGTTCCTCCTACTCACTCTCATTCCTGCGCGCAACTCCATATTTTGCACCTATACGCCTGCGCTTTAATTTCACCGGCTTGTCACTCTCTCTCTCTCTCTCTCTCTCTCTACTTCGCTTTCGCTTCTGCTTAAAGTATAACTTCAACGAAATTCCAGAAAACTTTCGTACAATATTGCTGACGAGTTTATGCGAAAATTTAATTATCAGTTATGCTTAATTATAGTTTTTGCTAATTGTATGCTAACCGAATTCACGAATTTGTGTGTGAGCTACTGTGCAACAAAATGAGAAGCGTCTGCTAAAAGTTCGAATTTTGGCTTGCGCAAAAATTTCAACTCCATTTCCCGCGTAAAACCAATTGTTCTCGATTACTTAGCTTTCAAACTTTAGAACCTGCACGAGCACGCCCCGAAACTCGCGTGCGGTGGCAACTACTTTTGTTATTGCAATTTTTGCTAAAACCCACATTTATATAAAAGCTCTGCTGCTATACATAGATATATACTTGCGCTCATTTCTTTATCTACTAAGTGGAAGAGATTCAATTTTTTTTGTAAGCAGTACAAACATGTATCTTTCGCCGCTGGGAAGTATAATACGATCGCAATGATTTATCCCAAGTGCGAGAAATTCGACGATTCTTGAAAATTGCCTGCGATAGCTATTTCGCTCTCTGTCCTTTCCTCCCTTTGCTCTCTCTTCCATTATATATCCGCGAATGTAGAATATAGTCGCTTGCCTCGTGGGCACGCGCGAAAGAGCAAGTCGAAATGGATGGACGATTTTTCGAACGAAATTTATAATCCATTTTAATTCACTCGGGTTGCTTGAGATATAGGAATACAGCCTGGCAATATGAATATATATGTACAGGCGCGCACACGCGACGAAGATATCTCCGTTTTGGCTTGCGCAGTTTCCTCTTTTTGTGACGCTGCTGCTGCTTTTGCTTTACGCTTTTCCGTTTTTCTTAAATCAATGGAAAACGCTCTAAGGAATTACGGTGCGTACGTATAAAAGTAAAAAACGGGACGTTGGAAAGAAAGCTATAGCTATGTAAGCTTTCTGCTTGTATCGTACATGTGAGCTTGACATTTCGAAAATTGGAATTCTCTTCGAGCTTTTGCATACGTATACACTCTTACGCATGCGCAGCTCTTCTCTCCTTTATCGAGTTGGAGTGAAAATGTAATTTAAAACGCATACAATGTACGAAACGTATTTTGCGACTATGTAACTACGGAGTGGTAAAAAAGTATCATTAAAATTCTAATGGTTGCTCATATTCGATTAGAAAAATCATTTATCCAAACAATATGTAGACTATATATATAAATGCAGTTGCAAAGCACGAAGCTGCTTCTAAACAGTAACTAATTTTCGTGCCGCACCAAAGCATTTTTCTTAGTGTGTCGGACAAATGTTCTCATATATAGACTCTTTCGTGTTTGATACACTTTTCCAAATTAATTTAAGTAAAAATCAACGTTCCACATCTCTCACTTGGTGTTACTAGTTCACTCGTATCTTTAAAACGCAGTTTAAAAAAAGAGAGGTCCGAAACAATTTGCATAGGCAATCATAGCGGTAGTCTTTTGTCCATAAAAGTACGTAGCGTGCAAGTCGTAACCCGTAGCAGTATCCGAGGATGGCCTACTTTGGTGCGATCCGTTGTCGTTCGCTGACGACTAGCCAGGTATTTGACAATACTTACTCGCTCTTTCTTCTTCGACGCTGTACCACCCTGCAGTGATGCTACTGACTGGCACCACCGCTGTCGCCGTTGTCACCCTATCGGTGCCATAAAAGGACGCGTTTGCATACATCGAGCGGCAGTTTTCCGTCTGAACAAATCCTCGAGGGTTATATTCTCCTTGCGTATGCGCGTCTCCGTGTACAGCGGCAATGGTATAGTCGAAGCTTGCAGCAGTGCGGTGCGCCGTCTCTGCGAGTCTCGAGTCACAGACCTGTGCAATAGTCGCTAAAACTGTTTTTCCATATATGCGCGGAAAACTTAATGTATACGTGCAGGAATCTCAAGAGCCGAGCGGCGATATAAACAGGGGTTGGTTGTGCTCTCCTCTTTTTCTTTCGCTCGATTCGGTGCCGTACAGCCAGCGCAGTACTTGAAAAGCATGTAGCGAAAATTTTCTCTCTCTTCTCGTTTTTTCCCTCTCGATCCTCGAAAGCGCGTAACGTGAAATGTATTTGTTACGCTTCGGTTTGATAAAATTTTATATTTCCGCAATAAAATTTGCACTTATTCATTTCAATGTCTACGAGTCGCGCGCGCGTCGTGTTCGCCGTGTGTATCCAGTCACGCGTACCTCTATATAGCCCGAGCGAGAAACTGATTTTGACGCGTTGTCGATAGAGAGAAAAAGCGAGAAAAAAATCGTAGCCGAGCGTTAGGTACTTTTTTCTACAAGTATACTCGGGCGCATAAATTTCATTCAGTTGTAGAACAGTTTGAAAAATGATGGTAATCCAGCTAGACAAAGATCGTCGAGAGCAGCAGCAGCAGCAGCAGCACTTGTATGATAATCGAGGCGCTTTTTTCGTACC